CAGTCTATAATTGTAATGGTAGGTTTATTTTAACAGTGAGAGACAGAATAACAACAAAAAATCCAGAAAAACACATTTCAAAAAAGTTATAAATTGATTTCCAGTTTAATGAGTGAAATAAGTATTTGATCCCCTATCAATCAGCAAGATTTCTGGCTCTCAGGTGTCTTTTATTGTATACAGATAATGAGCTGATTAGGAGCACTCTCTTAAAGGACACCTGCATAAAAGACACCTGTACTCAGAAGCAATCAATCAATCAGATTCCAAACTCTCCACCATGGCCAAGACCAAAGAACTGTCCAAGGATGTCAGGGACAAGATTGTAGACCTACACAAGGCTGGAATGGGCTATAAGACTATCGCCAAGCAGCTTGGTGAGAAGGTGACAACAGTTGGTGCGATTATTCGCAAATGGAAGAAACACAAAATAACTGTCAAACTCCCTTGGTATGGGGTTCCATGCAAGATCTCACCTCGTGGAGTTTCAATGATCATGAGAACGGTGAGGAATCAGCCCAGAACTACACGGGAGGATCTCGTCAATGATCTCAAGGCAGCTGGGACCAAAGCCACCAAGAAAACAATTGGTAACACACTACGTCGTGAAGGACTGAAATCCTGCAGCACCCGCAAGGTCCCCCTGCTCAAGAAAGCACATGTACAGGCCTGTCTGAAGTTTGCCAATGAACATCTGAATGATTCAGAGGAGAACTGGGTGAAAGTGTTGTGGTCAGATGAGACCAAAATCAAGCTCTTTGGCATCAACTCAACTCGCTGTGTTTGGAGGAGGAATGCTGCCTATGACTCCAAGAACACCATCCCCACCGTCAAACATGGAGGTGGAAACATTATGTTTTGGGGGTGTTTTTCTGCTAAGGGGACAGGACCACTTCACCACATCAAAGGGACGATGGACGGGACCATGTACCATCAAATCTTGGGTGCGACCCTCCTTCCCTCAGCCAGGGCATTGAAAATGGGTTGTGGATGTGTATTCTAGCAGGACAATGACCCAAAACACACGGCCAAGGCAACAAAGGAGTGGCTCAAGAAGAAGCACATTAAGGTCCTGGAGTGGCCTAGCCAGTCTCCAGACCTTAATCCCATAGAAAATCTGTGGAGGGAGCTGAAGGTTCAAGCTGCCAAACGTCAGCCTCCAAACCTTAATGACTTGGAGAGGATCTGCAAAGAGGAGTGGGACAAAATCCCTCCTGAGATGTGTGCAAACCTGGTGGCGAACTACAAGAAACGTCTGACCTCTGGGACTGCCAACAAGGGTTTTGCCACCAAGAACTAAGTCATGTTTTGCGAAGGGGTCAC